GGTACAGGTATGTCATTAAATCAGTTAGAGGCAGAGATGTGCCATCTAATGTCTTTGATACACATTTGTCATTATTGTCAGTGATGGGCATTAGGATCATGGATGTGTCATTTAATAATGACTGATACACCTGTAGAGGCTGGGGGTGTCATTAATACCAGAAATATGTTGGATGTGTCATTTAATAATATACCTAATACAGTACGGAAGTGTCAATAGTGAGCTTTCAATTTGTGCGACGACACAATGCTAGAACGGAATCACTCTTGCGTGACCGTCCTACCTGGCGTTTTACATTCTCTGCATATGTAGATTTTTTCAAATTGCGTTCCAGAATCTACTCGACGAGGTGACCTTAACGTTCTCGCATGCACAGATGACTTTTAGTGACATCATTACGTTCTACGTCCTACCATCATCGTACAATTGAAAGCTCCCTATTCACCTCAGTGAGGGAGGTTGTGTCATTTAAAAATGTCACTGATACAGATAGTACAGTAGTTCACCTGAAGTTCAATGCTTGAACCAAAGGTCATGTTTTTTTTTTATGGTAATGGTAATGGTTTGGGACTTGTAAAGCGCATACTACATGGTCTCTATGCGCTTAAGTTACACGAAAAAAAAACAAAAACCAAAAATTAAATCCTAAAGTCTAACCAAGCGACCTAAGAATTAAAAAAAAGCATGAGAAAACAGACTATCGCAGGGGAACCAACATTTTCAACAGTTTTTCAATTTTTGTTAAGAAAGAGTACTGTCTACCTCATTAATGCTACACAGCTACCAAACTATTTCATTAGGTATAGATGTGCCATTAATATCAGTGATAGGTAGAGGTGCCAATAAATAAAATAATTAGCGATTTACGCTGTATGCTCTTCAGTGCAAAAAAACACATTAGATATTGTGGAAGCGGTTTGGCACAGCGGAAACAGTTTGGTTTCCTAACCTCAAGGTCAGGGTTTCAATCCCTCGCTGTGCATTTCGCTTGTGATTTGAGCAAGGCACTTTATCTGCATTGCTTCTCTCCACCCAAGAGTATAAATGGGTACCTGGTGGGGTTGCCTGCTCCAGCACTTTATATCTGCAAAGAAAGGCGCTATATAAATGACCAGATTAGATTAGAATAGAAATTACCTGGAGCAATCAAGTTCACTGACACACCTTTTGATGCAACTTCTTTAGCCAATGATCTTGTGAATCCAACAAGACCAGATTTTGTGGCACTATAGATGGTTGAACCTGTATTTCCACGAAGACCAAGCACACTCCCTACAAAAGCATACAAGGCTTGAGACATGGAACTATCCATGATATTTCAAAGCAGACATAACTGCACTTTTAAGCAAAAATGAGAAAATGAAAAACTTGCCAGGAAAATGTATTAATACTACAGCATACAAAGTGAAATATTTTTCACTGTGCAAAACAACATAAACTGTAAGTTCACAAACATACTAATAATAATAATAATAATTTTTTATTTGTCCTCATTCAAATTGGAAACCGAAAATTTGGGCCTGTGCCCCTGGGGACGCACAGCAGCTGCGGTGCAGCACCACCCAACTTAACTACAACACATAGCAGACACAAACATTGTCCCTAACTCACCTAATTTTCAATAAGAGGATTTTATTCGAGGAGCCAAGCAGTCAGACTCCAATTCGCTGGTTGGGTTTGAACTGGGGTCTTCAGCTTTAGAAGCAGAAACATACCTCTCCCAGCGAACCACTCAGTACAAAATAGTTCCCCTTGACATACACAATAAAGTCATATGCATCCGAAACCCTTGCTGGGCCCTATGCGGTCCCTCAGTCTAAGGTCCGCTTCACTCACAAAACGCAACCCTCCCCTCCCCCCCCCCCATTCTAAAATCCTGCCTAGTTTTCAGATTGATTTCAAGTAATTGATTTGTGGGATACAATCACATACTGATTTCTGGATAGAACCCACCACCCATGGGAAAGTTTACTGGTACTGTAAAGTGTTCTACCCAAGAAAACCAGTTATAAAGTTGGCATCAGATGATTTTAAACCAGAGAAGTTGTGTTCCAAAGCTCAATCACTAATACTGTGCCAGCCTGTCTAATGCATGGGCGTCAATTGGTGGGGCACAGGGGAATGCGTCCCCCCACTTTTCGAAATGGGGGGGGGAGACATCATATCGATTGTCCCCCCCCCCACTTTTCACCAATCTTCTATAATTAAAACCCCACTTTTAAAAGCCA